GCAGCGGGCTCCGGGATGTCGAAGACGCTGAAGAAGAAGAAGCACTGGCTGAGCAAGGTGCAGGAGTGCGCCGTGTCCTGGGCCGGGCCCCCGGGCGACTTGGGCGCCGAGCTCCGGGGCGGCGCGGAGCGCGGCGAGTTCCCCTACCTGGGGCGGCTCCGCGAGGAGCCGGGCGGGGGCACCTGCTGCGTGGTCTCGGGCAAGGCGCCCAGCCCGGGGGATGTGCTGCTGGAGGTGAACGGGACGCCCGTCAGCGGGCTCACCCACCGGGATACGCTGGCTGTCATCCGCCACTTCCGCGAGCCCATCCGTCTCAAGACTGTGAAGCCAGGTATGCGGCCCTGCCCTTGCGCCGGGGGCCCGGGGCGCACTGAGACCCGAGGGGGTGGCTGACGCCGGGGAGAGGGGAGAGCCCGTGGCAGTGGTGACTCCCATTGTGCCGATGGGAAAACTGAGCTCTGCCTTGCCCTTGGGCTCTGCTGCTCTGAGAGCTGCCGCGGAATTGCCACCTGGACTAGCTTTCTCTAAATGCCGTGCTCTCCCACCGCAGACGGGAGTTTGTGACCAGAAAAAGCAGCCCTGTCCTGCCCTCCTTCTTTGTGGAGAAGGCCCTTACCATAGAAGCGTTTTCCGTGGCCAGAGTCTTAGGCATCTTGGAACGGGGAAAAGGGTCCTTAGTGGTGAGGCTCTTGGTGCCAAGGTGAGCCGCCTAGTGTACCTGGTCGTGCTCGGCTGCCTCAGCGTTTCTTGCCCACTCGCCACGTCTCGGAACTGACAGCCTAACTGGACCAGTCCAGGTGGTTCAGGTGACTGGGTAGCGAGCGATCTGTGATGTGTGACCGGGCGGCGTGTTCTTGCTCGGTGCTGTAGAATAGCATATGGGTTTTGCAGACGACCTTAGGTGCCTAGCTGAGTAGAAGCATTTGTGAAGCTCTTGATTTTGCAGAATTTTGTTGAAGGGGTGGGCAAAAAGAACCCCTGTTTCCCTGCTATCTTTTATGCTAGTAAAATCTGCTGCAAAGCACGCTACGTTTATGGCGTGCTTGCCAAAGCATTGATCAGGCTGCATACAGTGAGGTCTGTTAGTGTATAGTGGTCTGCCTGTATTTTGTTATCCACAGCACTGTTGGTTGTTTCAGCACTAGTAGAACGTTGTTGTGTCTCATGAGATGTTGTAGGAGAGAGAATTATGGTTACAACGTTATTAAAAACCACACTATTTTGGCCGAACGTGCTCTATTTAATGTGCCATGCATCAAATATAGTGAGCTGCTTAATTGTGACTTGTACTAGAAATCTGCCTACCTTTTCACCATAAAATACTAGAAAAGCCAGGAGAATTTAATAATGTTATTTTCTTCACTTTTTTTTTTTGCTTTGATTTTCCTCAGCAGCTCTCTTTAGAATGATCTCTTTAATAGTTCCCGAGCCTAATCAGAACTGGTGGTTTGTGGTGCAATATACATATGTGTGTGCATGGTGGATTTAAGTACACACACTCACATGGCCCTATAATCTTGACATTTTTATCCTACAGTCTACTGTATCATACTCAGGTTAAGTTTATTGGTTTATGTTTTTAAATTGTTACCAAATTTTTTAAAACTTTGACAAAATTTTTACATCCCTTCCTGTACTGGATTGCTGGGAATTCCAAATTTTTGTCTAAACTCAAATTTATAGAGTCTTATTTAAAGGGTTCTGAAAAGACATTGAGGTTATAATCTAACCCGTTTGCAATATGCAAAATAGTATATGTACAGCATTTTCTAGCCTAGGTGCCATTTAGTTCAAATCCCATGAGCAAAGGAATAATGAGAACATCTGCACCATTGCCCTGTGTTTTGTCTTCATTAGTTGGGGCACAGATGAGGTTATAGCTATTGTTTTCAGAAATAGGTTTAAAGTTGACAGATTGATGAGGAAGCTGGTGTATTTCTAAAGTACTGTGATTTTTGGAAACTGGGGAGCCAGTTCTTTAACCTGTTCTGCGTGTTATGCATGTTGTCACTCTTCATATCAAATGCTAGTGGGTGATTCAAGATTCAGAGTATGTGTTCAGTAATACTAACGGCCATGACAGTAACTAACTGTGTTGAGTACACATTTCATTCTTAGAATGTAGTTGACTTTTTTATAGCAAAAGCAGTTTTGTTCTCTTGACAACCAGAGACTATCCTACTTTAAAAGTTTAGTTTTAAAAAAAAGGGAGTACTCTACATTCATGGATACAGCACATTTTATAATCATTAATAATAAAAGTTCTGAATTGTACTTACTTTATTTATTTTTAAAAGATACTCTGTTAATCCCTAAAGCAAGCTACTACATCTGTGTCATCAGATTAATATTCTTGTTCTTAAGCCAGTTGTAGTTATAAATTTTTAATCACTTAAAAATAATATTCTTAGTTTTTTAAAAGCCTACGTTAAAGTGTTACTTTCCATGGCTTTCTTAAATAGCTTTGCTTGAAAGCAACATTTATTACAAGATTGCAAGGTTTTTCAAGTTAAACACAGACTTTAAATGTTAGAAATTAAGAATTTGAAGTGTTTTGGGGAGGTCAAAATTCGTAATCTAAAAACAGCCTAAATATCATCTCTAGTGGAGACAAAAATTCTATAGTGTTGTGATTAATTTTGAGAAGGTGGAAGATATAAAGGGATTTAAAAAAGAACCTTCACTGCACATTGTTTTTTCCCTTGTGTCTAAAATTTGTGAGATAAACGCCTTTTAAAACTTAATTAGGTATTATAAAGTATACTTAGTATTTCTGTCTCTTGTCATGACTCGTAACTATTAAACTGTATTCGTAACATATCATTTAGAAAGTAGCACAATGTGAAGGTAAATTTTAACCATTTCTGTAAGAGGTAATAGTAGCAGGGAATGATCTCATTGAATACTGATAGAGACCTAGGTGGAAGGATGAGTGGGACTGTAGGTTATGACTGCGGCAGCACTGACTCTTCTAGCTTTCTCATCTTATTCCATGCTGACAGTAGCCCAGCCCAAACCAGCAGGATCAACCAGATGATTGAATGGAGTCTTTTTGGCATCAGCTGTCTTCAGCTTTGACTTGGGGTTTTGTATATGTTTTCTTCTTTTTGCTGTAACCCTTAATGGATCATTGGAAATAACTTTAAAATACGGTTCCTAACCTGAGACTTTTAAGAGAGTTATGGATTTTTAGTTTGCCACTCATACACACGTAGTGCTTAGCAGTCAGTACTTTTCCTGCTACTAGAAGAATTCTTCGTTCCACCTAGGGCTTGGCCCAAGTTAGCTCTTTCTTAATTATGAAACTGCCATTAATTTTACTGCATAGAGAAAAGTTGTCTCTCACATTTGAACTTTGTCTTTTCCCAATAGTGAAGGAAGTTGAACTTTGGCCCTCTAGTGAAATTGTTTCATTATATAGCCCTGTGACCAGGATTCATTTCCTTGATTTTACTTCAGAATATGTTCTTAAATAATTTCTATTCTGATTAATGATACAAGTGTCACCCCCCCCCCAGTTTTGCAAACTGAATGTGCAGAGTTGGATGAACAATATAAATATTTGCTTCTTCATATTTTATTGGTGGTAAATTATGTGGATTTCATTCCAGAGATTAAGTATTGATACATTCAGTACATGGAATCATTGTCTATTGCATTATTATGCACACACACTGCGTTCAACAACCCTAGGTCTCTGTGTTGAGATGAAAATCATGAGAAACAATGTTAAAATTGGTTTAAACAATAACTCATTTGAAACTGATCTTGTGTAATGCTAATTGAATGTAGGTACAAGTCTTCATCATATATGCTTTGAGACATGCAATTTTGTTAAAGTGGAGAGACTCCTAGAAATACATTCCCTGTTGGAATGCTTACTTGAGGCAAATATGACAATTCTGTGCCTTTCTTCTCTTAATCCTTGGCTCTTTTTGTGGGTTCTTTTGGCATAGTAGATCACGTGGGGCTTTCAGTGAGTTTTGTTTAGTAGTTGTAATGTTTGAAGAAGGGAGGGGTAAGGGAAATTAGAGTTAATTGCTAGCCTCCTGGATTTGTAATAAATTCCTCTTTATCTTTTTTTTCTTTAAAGCAATAGAAACTAGGGCTTGGGTGGGACAGCTCCTTTGTTTAGGAAGATAAAAAGCAAATTTTAGTAAACCTTGAGTTTGAAATTTACCTTACTTTCTAAAATTTGTTATCCTTCTTCCCTCCCAATCTGTTGGCCTTCATATGTGGAGGCTTTAGAACCTGAGCCTCTGCTCATTATCACCTCCGATTTATATGGCAAGGAGCCCTAGTGATGGACTGGCTAAGTGCTTTGAAAGGTCAGTGATTTGAACCCACCAGCTGCTCCTTGGGAGAAGAGATCTGGCAATCAGCTTGGGTAAAGATTATAGCCTAGGAAGCCTGATGGAGCAGTTCTAGTTTGTCATCCAGTATAGGGTTGCTCTGAGTTAGAATCTACGCAAACCATCAGCATAGTAGCAGAACTCTTGTTCATTTAGATTTGGGGACCCTCAGGGGCTCATGAATATCATTGTGTTTGTTTATTTTCAGGCATTTTTTTTTGTAGAAGCACCATCACTAAACATCTCGGGTTAATTAATTTTGCTCAACGTTGTAGTACATAATTTTGGTGGTTTTATTGCTCCTGCCCTTACCCACAGACTTCTTAACATTTATAACTTGTTTGGTAAAATTGTATTTTACAGGGTTGATTGATATAGATATTCTATAATTTTTCAATATCTTCATGGTCCAAACAAATATTTAACATTTGGCCCTTTCAACTTATATTTTATTTAGTCTACACTAAAACGGATTTTCATGGAAAAAATGCTATTTCCTCTAGGATTCTGGGATGTCCTTTATAAAAACATCTTGTTACGAGAGGTCACTTTTAGTGATCTTTTTTCTCTGTCTCTACTGTATCTAAAGTGATGGAAAAACAATCTAAGTGTGTTCAAATAACTGGTTTATGAAGTTAGTGCATAATCTTTTCAGATGACGAGTTTAATATAGCTCCTTTGCAACTTTCACTCTTTAGTGTTTTGTAAATATTGTGGGCATTTACTATTTGGGAAAGGAGTCCCTAAGTGATGCAAATGGTTAATAGGCTTAGCTGCTAACCAGAGTTTGGAGGTGCAGGTTAACCCAGAAGCACATGGGAAGAGAGGCTCCGTAGACTGTTACTGAAGAATGCGTCAGCGAAAACCCAAGGAGCACAGTTCTACTGTGACATGGGGTCTCCATGAGTCAAAATTGATTTGACCGAAATGGCTAGTGTTAGGGAGGGTGTTACAGCAGAAGTGTGTCTTCAAGTGTCAC